CCAAACCACTGATTTCTCGTCACCTTTTAGTCAAACCTCCTGGGATGGCCTTCAGGGTGGAACAGAGTAAACACCAGAAGGTAAGTATTTCCCAAATCCTACTGACAAAAAAATCTTCCTCCTAGATCCAACACAGATAAAAGAAGAATGTACAGAGTGTCCTAGGAACTACTGCCTTCCTTTCCTGATCTCTCTTGCACGATGTCTGACGCCATCATTATTTTAAGAGTTAATAAGTACAGTAATAATAATCACCACTGTAGTGTTATTTTCTCAATATTTAAGACTTTAAGTATTTTACATTAATAAACTTCACATATCATACCTATTCAACTTTACATATAGCTCCTATTAAGTAGCTGCTATAACTATAGCCATTTTCTCAATGAGAACACTGAGGTATAAAAATGTTCAATTATATGCCTGGAATCACATGCAGTCTAATCCAAAACTCCCTCTCTAAAGCACTTACAAGATCATTAAAAGTTTCACAGTTTTATAAAGTTTATGCTGCCTTACTCATATATCTTTGCATCATTCATTCAACTGACTTTTCAACCTCAGTTTTTCTCTGTTACAGTACAGTGAGATTTGCACTAAAACACTCTGATTAAGGGAAGCTTCCACGTAAATAGACAATTCATACTGTGATGGTCCCAGAAGGAGATAGGGTCCCTCCCCTCATAAGGGACCCATTCTGATCAGAGGAAGCAGCTTCCAACCCTGAGGAGTTTCAGGTTTGAAGATTGAGAAACAACAAACAAGAAAATTGTTTAGGACTTCATATAGGTTACAGCCTATTAAGAAAAAATATATTCTGGAACTGATTTCAAATGCTCATTTCTGTAGAAGGCAGTAACAGCTCCTTCCTCTGGGCTCCAGTAAGGGAACTCTTATGCTGTTTGGAATCATTTGTTTAGCCTGCCTGCTGCCTCTGCGCTGTGAGCTCTTCAGGAGTCTGGTCCATACCTGATTCTTCTCAGAACTCCTAAGCCTGGCTCAGGGCCTCTGAGAGCCTCTTGAGTGTTTTCTGAATGAGTGATTCCAAATTTATGAATTAAACTATAGGTAACAGGGTCAAGGAATGCTGAAAATATCTTTGAGTTAGATTTCAACTGTAGAGATGATATCAGGACTATGAGATAATATTTGTTTGTTTGTTTGTTTGTTTTTGGGGTAGCAGGGATTTGAGACAGGGTCTCACTCTTTCACCCATGCTGGAGTGCAATGGCTCAATCTCAGTTCACTGCAACCTCCCTCTTCTAGGTTAGTGATATCCTACCACCTCAGCCTCCTGAGTAGCTGGGACCACAAGTGTGCACCACCATACCTGGCTAATGTTTGTATTTTTTTGTAGAGGCAGGGTTTTGCCATGTGGCTCATGCGGGCCTTGAACTCCTGGGCTCAAGCAATCCTTCCACCTTGGCCTCCCAAAGTGCTGAGATTACAGATGTGAGCCACCACACCCAGTCTGTGAGAAGAATTATTTTATTTTATTTTATTTTATGAGACAGAGTTTCACTTTTGTCACCCAGGCTGGAGTGCAGTGATGTGATCTTGGCTCACTGCAACCTCCACCTCCTGGGTTCAAGTGATTCTTCTGCCTCAGCCTCCCAAGCAGTTAGGGTTACAGGCACCCGCCACCATGCCCAGCTAGTGTTTTGTATTTTTTGTAGAGGTGAGGTTGGCCAGGCTGGTCTTAAACTCCTGACCTTAGGCGATCAACCTACCTCAGCCTTCCATAGCACTGGGATTACAGGCGTGCACCACCACACCCAGCCAAAAAAAATTATTACTCTCACATTAATACTGTATTAAGTAGCTCATGAAACACTTTGGTGAACATTATTATCTTTCATATTCCCTATAATATTAAGAATTAGCACCAGGCATGGTGGCTCATGCCTGTCATTCCAGCACTTTGGGAGGTGAGGGTAGGCAGATCACCTGAGGTCAGGAGTTTGAGACCAGCCTGGCCAGTATAGTGAAACCCCATCTCTACTAAAACTACAAAAATTAGCCAGGCATGGTGGTGGATGCCTGCAATCCCAGCTACTCAGGAGGTTGAAGCAGAAGAATTGCTTGAATCCAGGAGGTAGAGGCTGCAGTAAGCTGAGATTGTGCCACTGCACTGCAGCCTACATGACAGAGCAAGCCTCCCTCTCAAAAAAGAAAGAAAGAAAGAAAGAAAGAGAGAAAGAGAGGGCCGGGCGTGCTGGCTAAAACCTGTAATCCCAGCACTTTGGGAGGCCGAGGCAGGTGGATCACGAGGTCAAGAGATCGAGACCATCCTGGTCAACAAGGTGAAACCCTGTCTCTACTAAAAATACAAAAATTAGCTGGGCATGAGGGTGCATGCCTGTA